CCTATTCCCTTTGGTACAAACTTTTTGAGGGACAGCATCGGCCCCCCTTCTGCATCCTGTCCTGGATAGGAAATGACAATTTCAATACCGGTCTGCAATCTCATTCATGACTTATCAGCCCTGAGTGATGCAAAATGCTTTGTGTTGGCTCTCTTTTCCAAAGAAAAGTGTCACCCTAAATTAAAAATAATTTGCGTTAAAAGATCTTACAACTGCAAGACCATCCACTAAAAATTCTGGGTATTCCAATAGCTTAATTGTTGCAATGCTTTCAGTGAGACAGACTAGCCAAGTTTAATGACAGTCTTTTTTAAATAGAGTACAAGTTTTAGCTGAATAGGAACCTTATGAGTTACTAGAGCTAGCAAGTGCCTCATTAAATGACTGAGCAGGAAGAAGGCTGTAAGGTGCTGAGCAAATTCTGGCAAAATCCTAAATATGATCCTCTCCTTTTGAAGTCAGTGAGAGTAAATGAGTATTGAGTATTCCTGGGAAATACTGACTTTAAAGCCATAGAAATAGATGCCCATGAATGCATTCCAGTTTTATACTGAGATGTGGACTGTAACCTTGGACCTATTTTCATCAGGAATTAGATAGAAGATTTAATGAGAGGATTTCATCATTTAGCAGGGGTGATGTTTGCTTTGTTCTTTATCACTGAAAAACTGAAAATTGCACATAACATTGATGCAGGCAGTATCACCAGTTTAAGGGTATTCTGTCCATGTTAGCTTCAAATACCCTGCAAACCATGCACAGTGAGATCACGCTTAGTACAATGGGGAAAGGGGATATTGGTTCACCCAGCAACAAAAGCTTCTGAAGATATTTTATTTCTGTCTTTAAAAACTTTCCATGATCATCATTCAAAGGTAAACTTCATCCCAGAAAGATCCTTTCATAAAATTATGGGGCCACTTAAAAAACAACAAAAAAAACCCACAAAGTAGAGGGAGGTTATTATAAAAAAAAAAAAAGTTTTGTAACCATAACAATAGCAGTTCATTGTAGCAATGCTGTATTTTTCCATCTAAATATGTCAGTAGCATACACAGAGATGTGCAGATATAAATAATCTTTATGGTTCTGTAAAATAATTTCGTTGTCATGCTCTTTAACAATTCTGAGCTTGGGCTTATGTTTGTATTAAAGGAGTTGTTATGCTGACTGCTTAAAAACAAAAAGCACTCATGACATTCAAACTTGTATGCTTTCTTCCCTTTTGACTGTGGAGGCTCTTGTCCATTTTTAAGTTTTTATGAACTGTACGCCTTGCAGTTTGTAAATGTTAGAAAAGAAAGTCTCTTCTAAGATTTCAGATTAAAAGTGTAAGTCCAAAAGACTTGAAGAAAGCATGCTGTGTGCCTGTTCCAAGATTAATAAAACAGAAATTTTCTTTTTTTTTAATTGAAAAAAATAAAATCTCCCCTAAGATTATAGTGGAAGCTACACTAAATGTGTAATATCAAACATGCAAATTGTTCAGTTTTGGTTTTGTTTTTTAAAATAATATAGACCCCAGGGATAAAGTTTATATACTACGTTTTTTTTTAAGATAGAAGACCAAAGAACAGGTAGATCCTTTTACTAACAAACCAAGTGAGTTTGGCTCCATCTGTTGCTCCCAGATTTCACAGCTCTCCAGGATTCTCACTTTCGACTTTTTGACTTCAGTGACATATAGTTTGTTAAGCAACTTGATCTGCTTTTGATCTCTCCTGCCTGTCAGCAACGTTCCTTGATGCAGTCATGCCAAGCAATGACTTCTGTTCCTATGTCATTCCACAGAAGAAACTTTAGTGCTTGCCACATGACTTAAATCAACTCGCCATGTAAAGAAAATTGGGCATCCAGGGTCACAAGAGCAGTGCGTGACTCTCACTGATTAGGACCTGTGTTGTATATCTATTATTATCAGTATATTTTTCTAGACACTTTAGAATGCTAGAGGTGGGGCAGAAAGATGTGGAAAACGTGTATTGAATCAATTAATGTTTTCATCCTCTGCTCTGACACTCTCTGGAGGTACAATCATGGTTTAGGAAAATATTGGATTTGTGGCCCATGAAATTCTTCAAGACATGTATTTAGTTTAGGAAAGAACTAGGACACTGAAATGGCAGTGAGAGTTACAGCATTTATGAAGCACTTACGGCAAGTTAAAACTGTTTAGAAGCTGTTTTTTGGCTACACATTAACATTTTAGCTTTACAATTATAAGTTTATTTCTGCAAATCAAAAACTAATTCATCAGTTGTCACTTATTGCAAAACTTTCACTGAAGCTCAGCTAAAAGTGAATTAGAAACAATGTCAGGCAGAAAATAAATCTGACTGGTAGAATTTTGAAGAGATGAATAATACCTTACAATGCAGACTGCTATAAAATTGAGTTGAAGTCAGTACTTGTTCATATGTCATAATGTTGTCCTATTTAATATCTTTGACTGAAAACTGATTACAAGTAATAATTACAATTATTAAATATTATTTTTGTAGTGATGCTTTCTTTTCCTACTCTGAGTGTTTACAACTCATTGAAAAGTCTCCATCGATAAGAAGCTAGGCTGTGTGGCCCAGTACATCTCTCTGATTTGGAATAAATGTGACTGAGAATGTTTACAAAGTGTTAAGCACTTGCAGAACACTGTATTTTAAAAAGTATGTTCCAAGAAAAGCCCCACAGTAACTTGGAAAAATACCCTATTTTTTCTGTGCTTCTTACAGTCACCTAGAATTATCTATTCAGCTTGGATCTGTTAGTTGTAGAGCTGGTATGTGCTCTTGGGTTTAATACCTGCTGTGTAAACCAGAGCATTGGAAGTACCATATTGTGCAATAGAAAGACTTTTAAAAGTTGTATTTGGGGTGGTGTCAATGTGGGACTGAGGGAGATGGGATAGTAGTAGGCATGTTATGCTTTGACCCCTTACTATTTCTTTCTCACGTAGTTATCTCATAATTCTTTAGCTTTTCCTCTTGCCTCAGTAATGGTTACCCCTAACACCTAGAAAGAGGGCCCAACCCTAAAAGTGCAGTCAAGCTATAGTCTGAGATGGAATTTTCCTCTTCGTG